TTGCTTTGCTCAATTTTGGATGCTGCTCGTGGTGGACTCGACTTTATAGAACTCCCAGCTTCTTCAGAGTCCTCATCATCCATTGTCACCCCAGCGTCAACTAAAAAGGTAAAATTAAAAAAAGTTTTTTAATAAAATAAAAATAATAGTACAAACGGCTTATACAATTGACATATGAAAAAGAGTCCTTAAAGAAACATGCATGCATGAATACTCACATGTGTATGGTGTGTCTTTGGTGTGGTATCTCTGAACGTGAACATCCAGAGGAGCCTTATCTCTAAATTCTTGTCCACAGTAGTTGCAAGAGTAAATAATTTTAGGTTTTGGTTTCCGCTTGCTCACTCTTCTTGGTTGGCTAGTGATCCCCTCTGCTTGAGAATCCTGATGCACGTTTGCTACAGGTTGTCCTTTCTTTGTACTCTCTGTGTTTATGCCACTTTCAGTGGCAATGACAGCTGAATTCAGATTCAAAATATCAGATCTCTGTTCTTGAATTAGCTCAACATTTCTGTCCCTGTTCATCTCTTCTTCCTTGTGAGTTTCAGCAGTCGTGACATTACAGTCTGCTGCACTTTCTTCAGTTGACTTTTCAGTTTCAGATTGTGCAGTACCGTCTGAGTGCTTTGTACTTTCCTCCATTTCCACATCATCTGGCTGTACCTTCTGACCCGTGTCACTTTCAGACTCATTTCTTGGAGAGTGTGTTTTATCCATATTTGTTTGTACTGTGAACACTACACTCAACTGGAAGGTTAGATAATGTAATCAATGCAGAATTGAGTTTTCTATAAGAAAACAGAAAGAGACATCGTCTTAAATACAATTCAGTATATAAAATTAATTATATAAACAAGTGAATTCGGCACAAAGTCTTGTTAAACAACCAATCTTTCGGCGACAGTTTGACCAAACACGGGTAGATATCGCCATCTAGTGCTTACAGACGCAACCTTCTATCTGGGTAAAGGTTAATTATTGTTCCATGCTTTCTACATTTTTCGTAAGCTATGCAAAACTGCAAATTTATAATTATTATTTTCTGCCAACGTGTAAAGTGTATAATTATATTTTCTTTTCCTTGGAAATCCTGATTGAGAATAGGCACACAAATACATTTGCTCTGAAACGAACTGGTTAGAGTATTCCAAACATCGTGCATCGCTTGGGGTCACCTCTCTCTCAATTTCTTCTTTATTCTATTGAACAGTTTGTGTATTTTTGCAAATGTCAAAAAACCTAGAGCAATTCTTAAAATGTATAAAAATGTTACATGTTTGATGACTTCGTGTTTTTTTCTTCTTCTGTGACTAGAATATGTGTATGCGTAAAGCTATTTAAAATAACGTAGTAATATTTAGTCACCGTATTATTAAATTTATCTGTAGTGTGTAGCTTGTGGGCTATAGAAACCTTTATGATTAGTCACTTTTTCAGGTTTTGAACGTATAGACATTGCGACTGAAATTCGAAGATACTTTAAATCTGCCCAAGTTGAGCTCTGCCGTTAAATCAACACTTTTAACACAACTTAACAACATGGTTGTTTTATTAAGTAGGTTCATCTCAAAATAATAATAATAATAATAAACAGCAAGGTTACAGGCTCAACCTCACAAATGTCAGCATTAAACGCGGATTAAAAACGACAGAGAAGTTTTCCGGAGAGACTATTTTTATTGTATCCTCAACACAAACGGATTAATACTCCTGGAAGCAGACTCTGGTTGTGTTTGAGTTTATAACGGTAGCTAACATGCTAACTAGCGCGATGTTGTCTAAGCACTTCAGCTACGCCAAATCTGTCCAATCAGGTGACTTGATTACATGCGTGAGCCAATCAAAACAAAACACAGGCGGCACCGCTTTTCTAAACTGCATAGGCTTGGAAAACGACGGCAGCACCGAGGCCCAAAAAGGAGGCTAACGTCGACCACGCAAACTCCGTTCCCTCATGACGAGAGAGACCTCGTAAACTGTCACCGGGATTTTTAGACGTGACAGCCGAAGCAACCCGACCAACAATAGATTGATGTCCTGAAATATTTAACGTACTTACCCGTTGTTATACGACAATCTCCTCTGTCCGCGCTTTTCCTGGTAGACACAAATGGCGTACCGTAGAGCGAACCATGCGTCACGAAGGAGGGCGGTTCTTCCGCCCGCAGCTTTCTCCCGATTGTATGTGTTCATGTAGTGGAACGTCCAATGTCGAACTAATGGGGAGAGACAAAACGCTCGTACCATGCAACACATTTATGTGTGATATTCAAAACGGCGTATCCGAGTTCTTCGTGCTTATTAATCGCAAAGTGATGCACTTCCTATCGTGTTTAACACGGTTTTGTAGGCAAACTACCAACCGGAGAACAGGAGATTAGAGTTCTGTTGTTTGTTCTGCATTTGAGTTTAATCCAACTGAATAAAAAACTTCATCTACGGTTTATTTGTAGGATTGTAGATTGCTCTGTGCCCCACAGTCTAAAGCAGTGTTTAGGCACCTGCTATATATGTATAATAAATGTGTAGCTTGTATTACATTTATTGTTACATTTGAATAACACATTTCAGATTAGACTTACTTTGAAACAACTCACCATTAAAGTCAATATATATAGTAAGATAAATATTAATAATATAAATATTTTACATTATTCTTCATATCTTATTTGTATTACAACTCCATCTAAATTAGTAAATTTCTTTTAGAATTTAACGGTTTTACTGAATTACAATAAGAACAAACAAAGGACTGGAATAATTGGAAAATATTATAATTATTGGATTTTAAAGGCAGTAAAAATTAAACTTTAGCCCATCACATTGCTTTCATACTAACTTTTCAACAGTTATATTTATTTAATGTTTGTTGAGCTCATGGTTAGTGAAGCGACAGTCTATTCTTTTTCTCACATGGTCAGTGTGTGATGAATCACTGCCCCCATTGAACATCCAATGTAAGTCTTATGGAAAACTGAAGATGGATTAATGCATGGGCATTAATTGATTAAGTATTCTGACAGGTCAGGAGGTGATAAATGATACCTCCTGCAATGAATACACAGATTACTTTTGCAATAATTTTCTTTAATTCATCACAGTCAAAATTATATGACATGGATGGGTGGAAATGCAGACACACTCCCCCTCTCCAGCCCATTTTTCATTAGGACTCATCATTCATTTTTCTCCATTAGTTGTCTATTAAATGCAGAGTTGGGGGACTTTTGGTGGACAATGCTTCATTCTCATACATAGTATTTATAACAATCATTTTATAATTGGAAGTCAACAGGGTATTCTTACATTTAAATATACGTACAATAATTACAGAATTATGGGCATTTTTTATTATTAATTGATTAATTAATAATGTAAGCACAAATCAATAAAATGCATGGCAAAGCTGTAGAATTGTTTAAAGACCAGAGTTCATGCCAAAAAAAAACAAAACAATAAATATGATCATCAAAAGGTTTCTTCATGAACTTTATGTATAGGTAACAGTGTACTATACTTCTGCCATTTAGTCTTTTTTCCTTTGTAGTATAAAACAGAAAGAAATTGCAAAGGTAGGAAATTGTGTATCACGGATGTATTTGACAGGCTGATTGTATTTAAACGTATGTGTTATTGATGTTTTGGCCACTTGAGGGCATCAGAAGCCACCGAGCAACTAAGGACAATCACCTGTCGTTATTTTAGGGATAACAGTAGCCTATATATACG